CTCCCTGCTCCTCCTCCTCCCTGCTCCTCCTCCTCCCCGCTCCTCCTCTTCCCTGCTCCTCCTCTTCCCTGCTCCTCCTCCTCGCTGCTCCTCCTCCTCCCTGCTCCTCCTCCTCGCTGCTCCTCCTCTTCCCTGCTCCTCGTCCTCCCTGCTCCTCCTCCTCCCTGCTCCTCTTCCTCCCTGCTCCTCGTCCTCCCTGCTCCTCTTCCTCCCTGCTCCTCCTCCTCGCTGCTCCTCCTCCTTGCTGCTCCTCCTCCTCCCTGCTCCTCCTTCCCCCTGCTCCTCCTCCTCCTCCCTGCTCCTCTTCCTCCCTGCTCCTCGTCCTCCCTGCTCCTCCTCATCCCTGCTCCTCTTTACTGAACTGCTGCTGTCCTGCTTCTTTCCTTGCAGCCTCACACACCTCAGCCCTCCCTTCCTCCTTTAGGGCTGGGTGTGAGGTCCCTTTCCTGTCTCCCTTCCACAGGTGGTTGTTTGGCACCTGCTCTGTGCTTGGCCGGGTTCCTCTCCTTGCCCTGATGGGGTGGCAGCACAGCATGGTCAGTGCTGTGGTGGAGACAACAGGAGAAAGGGGAGGAGAGGCCGGGGCAGGTATAGGGTTGTAACAGCAGGGGAACAGAGCTGGAGTGAGAAGGCGCTGTGAGGAGCCTGTGTAATTCGGAGCCGTGAGGACAGCTGCTGGACTTAGTGACTTGGGGACTTGCGGTGGCTGGATCTCGGTCCCGACAGCAGTGGAGAGTCATCCAATAGTCTTGAGAAAGGCACGTGCCTGGTAGGGCTACTCTTTAGGGAGGACAGAGTACCACAGGGAGGCCTGTGGGGGGGCAGCAGCATGGACACCTGATTAGGTCTCCCTGGGAGGCAAGGCGTAGCAAGTGGCCATGGCTGTGGCTGTGGCTGTGGCTGTGGGGTTTGTTTTAGTCTGAGAGTGGCCAATAGAGTGTGGCGGCCTGAGGCCAGGGTGTGGAAACATGGACAGTTAGAAATGCAGGGCCAGAGTGGGCAGGGAGTGGGCTGCACCAAGCATGTAAGGAATTGGGATCACCGGGACTTGGCTACTTGCACCATGGAGGAAATGGAGGGGAAGCTGTTGTCAGGTTGCCTAGCAGCAGCCTGGCTCATGAGGGCTTCTATTGGCTCTTCTTTTAGGTGACATTGGGCAGCCTTTCCCTTCGTGTCTCATCTCTCACTGTAGAGGGTTTGAGCAAAGTGGTTTATTCTGCTGTGACCCAATAGGTCTGTGATGGGACACATGGCCATGGCATGGTCAGCTGGGGCCTAGGTCAGGACTCAAATCTGACCAGGTTTGGGGTGGCCAGGGGCCAGTGCCTGGCATAGCTGCAGTCTGGGAAGTCCTGTTTCTGACCTCCACATGCCCGCCCTTCCTGTCAGCTGTCTTGGCCCTGCTTGGCTGGCCCTGACTCCATCCCAGGCTTCAGCTCTCCTGGGAGGAGTGGCCATGCTCCAGAGTCCCCATTGGCTGAAGCTTCCCTGCTGCACACATCCCTGCCTCCTGCTGGCTGCCTTCCCATCTTGACTGCTGGAACTGAGCTCAGGGAGAGTGGAGTCTGAGGCACTTCTGTGATAGCAACTGGAGGCCCTGATCTTGCTGCCTGGGCATCTAGAAGGTTCTAGGAGCTCCTAACCATGAGAATGGTGTGGGAAGATGGAACCTACCTGCCACACCCAGAATGCTAAGCCGCCTGTATCAACATCTATGCAGACTCCTCCCCCCCCCCCCCCCAGCCAGTGCACAGTCAGGCTGGAGATGCCTTTGGCAGTTGTTTCCATGGTGATGGACCTGGCCGCTTGAATGTAGCAGCCTTCAGGCAGCCTTTGAGAGCCTGAAAGATGGGCAGCTGTCATCTGATGACCCCCACCCTGGCCAAGAGTTCCTAGGCCTGCTGCCTTCTTCTCCCCTTGAGGCCTTGCACCCAGCACTGTGCCTTGCACCGAGGAACTCTTGGAAGAGGCTTCATCTCTGGGAGGCACAGCAGCTCTGGATCGGACAGACTTGGTCCGTCTCTTATCACTCTAGGAGTCATGGGCTTTGGACAAGAGCCAGCTGTGTCCTCATCCCATAGCTGAAGTAGGCTCACACCTGTCACTATCATGTGACAGGGGGCCCTGGAGGCAGTGTGTATAGCCTGAAGGAGGTCAGGTCACAGTCAGACCCTGGGGCATCAGCTGGGTTTTTTGGCTCCAGCCTCAGTTTCCTTGTCTGTGACATGATGTTAGGAGAGCATAAAATGGAGAAAGAAATTAGATTACCACATGTGAGCCCCCGAGAGAGTATGCAGCACGTAAGTGCTGTGTCAACAGGCAGTGACTGTGACCCCCGCTGCACAGTCAGCATTGGCCACGAGGACTGGAACGCAGTGCACGCTGCCCCCTTCACCCGTTTTCCCAGCTCTCGAGAACACTTCTGACTAGGGGGGCAGATAAACCGAGATGGGACAGTAGGTCTCCTGTCAGAGGGGCTACCAGGCACGTTCCCCCTTCTGCCTGCAGAGCAGGAAAGGGTGCTCCAAGCTTGAAGCCCCCCTTCTCGTATGTGGGGTGTAGAACTTTCTCTGTTGGCTCTTCAGCTGGGTCAGGTGACCGGCAGTGACTACCTGGAACTCCGTGGTCAGTAGATCTGAATGCTGAAGCACTGGCTGAGGTACTCCTTCTGAGGTCCTCAAGAAGGGGAGAGCCTCAGAAGGGGGTCTGTGGGCCTGTGGGATGAAGTCGGAGCCATGCTTGAGACACTGTTTTGGGAGCAATTCCCAGGCTCCACTGACCTAGGCCGCCCAGCATAGGAGGTGGATGAGGTCTTCCTTATATCCCTTCCCTGCGCCCAACCCCGGGCCTCACTGTTCTTTTCGTCCATATAACTTTTAATTGTTTGTTGAGAGAAACTACTGCTTAGCCCAACACTCACTCGTCATCACTCGGGAACACAGGTCAGCCATGAACATCTGTGGCGCTCAGTCCAAAGATTTCTTCACCATTCTGAAATCATGTCTCACTTTGAGAGCAGCCTTCCTTGTCTCTTCAAAAGTCTCTCATGGAATCCTAATTCCTGTAGACGTCTGCATACGCCGTCTTTCTTGCTTCAGCCGCACCAAACTCACAGGGAGCTGCGACTCCCAGGGCCACAGTGCATGTGCCAACAGTAGCAACTGCAGACGCTTGGCCGTGCATCCGAGGTCTCAGCACTGCACTGGAAGTCACCGTAGTGAATGTCCACTACACCAGCATCCCTTCTGGTTCTCACAGAAAGTGATCTTCAGCATCAGTGCAGCCTGGCCACCCGCTTTTGCTTGGAGCACTTGTTCCATTTGTTTCCCAGTTTACTACTTTAAACCTTTTCATTATTTTAAAAGCAGGGTTTCACTGTGGAGCCCTGCCTGGCATGGGACTCTCTAAGTACTTCTGGCTGGCCTTGACCTGTGGAGGTGGAGATGTCTCAGCCTTCCAAGTACTGGGGTTAAAGGGTGTACTACCATACCTGGAAGTTAAACATTTTCAAGTGTGTAGTTCAGTGGGATCAACTGTGTTTATATTGGGTCCCCTTCACCACTGTCTCTAGAACTTTTCATCTTGTTTAACCAGAACCCACCCTCTGCTCACCCCATTAAGCAGTAGCTCAGTCCCAAGCCATCCCTACAAATATGATCCAAGGATGTCCTATGAGTGACTTCTAGTGTTTGTCCTTCTGTGACTGCTGTCTCAGTATAATGTCTATACCTTTCATTGAATTTTGAGAATATGTCAGAATTTCCTTCCTTTTTAATGTTGAGATAGAGTCATGGGACTCCATATATATTCCCGCTACATTTTGTGTTGTCTGTGTGAGTGCATATATGTGTTCAGGTGCGTGCGCACCAAAGGAAGGTATTGAGGGTCTTTATCCATCACTTTCCACCTGTTCCTCTGAGGCAGAGTTTTGCCCTGAACCCAGAGCTCACATTTGCTTGGCTAGGCTGGAAGCCCCAAGCCCCAGTGTTCCTCAGATCTATTGACTTTGGAGCTCTGGGTAGTCACTGTCAGTCATCTGTCACAGCTGGAGAACTAACGGAGAAGGTTCTGGAATCCACACATGAAAGGTGGGACTTCAAGCTTGGTGTACCCTTTCCTGTTCTCAGGCAGAATGGTCCCTTTCCCTCTCACGAGTGCCATACATTATTTCCCTCCTGGCTATGCTCACGTTGGGGCTAGGGTACAGGTGTTTTAGTTACTTTTGCTATGAAGAGACATCTTGACCAAGGCAGCTTAAGAAGGGTTTAATGGGGGCTTACAGTTCCAGAGGGCCAGTCCATGACCATCACGGCAGGGAGCATGGCAGTAGATAGACATGCATCGCACTGGAGCAGTAGTTGAGGCACAGCCATGATGCAGAGAGCTAACTGGGAACGGCATGGGCTTTTGAAACCTCAAAGCCTGCCCCAGTGACACACCTCCTCCAACAAGACCACACTTCCTGATCCTTCCTAAACAGTTCCATTGACTGGGACCAAGCATTCAAACATGAACCTGGGGGGGCATTCTCATTCCAACCATCACACTCCAATGCTATGTGGGTGCTGGGATCTGAACTCTGGTCCTCAGGACTCTGCAGCAAGTGCTCTTAACTGCTGTGCTATCTCTCTAGTCCCCTACCATCTTTTGTAGAGAGAAAGTCAAGAGTGAAACTGGTGACATGCCTATAATTCTATTCTTTTAAAGACTGAAGAAAAGAAAACGCTCAAAGCCAATCTGGGCTCCACAGAGAGACACTGAAGGAAAACTTTAAAAGTTGCCCATTGTCTGTCTGTAACAAGGAAGTAGGCACTTCCCTAAGAGGTGGCATTCCTCTGAAGTCTGAGAGCGTGGGCTGGAGGATCATGGGTCATGGTGGCCATCCTTGATTAGGCTGGTGGGAGGAGGGCCGAACTGCTTCTCCTCCGTACTTGAGGTGTCAGGGTTAGCAGGGCAGAGACATGCAGAATGCTGACCGTGTTGTCTTCTCCTGTCCCCAGGGCTTTGCCTCTATGTTCTCTAGTCGCACATCCCGGAAGTCCATCTCACATCCAGAGCACGGAGATGCCATGGCAGAGGGTGAGGAGTACCGGAACCCCACAGAGGTGCAGATGAGCCAGCTGGTGCTGCCCTGCCACACTAACCACCGTGGGGAACTGAGCATCGGACAGCTGCTCAAATGGATCGACACCACAGCCTGCCTGTCAGGTGATGCTCTGCTTCAGGCTCTCCATCATATCCCCACCGCTTGCCCTGTAGAACCTGGGTGGGGGGCCTCAGTTTACAAAGATGGTCTCTTCCTCTCTCATGGTCTCCATACTTGTTCCCCCTCTGGCCTTAGTTCCTGCTCATCCCTTGCCTCAAATCCTCTGTTCATCTAGTTGCTTGAGCAGCCTGTCCCTCTCCTCTAGTCTCCTAGCCCTGGGTGATGGTACCATGAAGATGTCCCTGTCTGCCTCTGCTGCAGCCTTAACCAAAGCTATTTCCCAATTGGCTGGGAGACTGTCAGGCTCAGAGACTGACTGTGAGTGTGTGTGATCCTCTCCACGCTGGCTTTTGTTACATTTCTGTTCTCCAGCCTCCAGGTCTAAAACAGTGACTTGGCTGTACCAGCAGGGATTGAGAGGCCCCTAGCCAGCCATGCGGTCAGGGAAAGGGCTCCAGAGGGGACGAAGGACTGAGGCAAGGAAGCAGAAGTGGGAAAAGAAAGATGGGCACTCTTGGTGGAGAGGTCTCTGGAAGAGGGACATATGTTTAGAGGCCTGTGTGACATGGGGAAGCTGCTAACATTTGGCTTTCTTCTCCCGAGCCAGCGGAGAGGCATGCTGGCTGCCCCTGCGTCACAGCTTCCATGGATGACATTTACTTTGACCATACCATTAGGTAAGTGGCCCTCTGACTTTACTACCCTCTTGGCCTGCCCATCTCGAGCACAGGGCCATCATCTCTGCCTCTCCACCTACCGGGCTGCGCGGTATTAGGAGCTGACTCCATTGACTGATGGCTTTGGAAGGTGGGATCTGGTGTCTTGGGGGTGGAACATCTTTCTGCAATTCTGTGGGGTAGCAGTGGGGTAGGAGTGGGCTGTTGCTTTGTGCCAGCAGGAGAGCTTTCTTGTCAGGATTCGGCCAGGGAAGTTGTCTCAGGTTTGCAGTTGGAAGGACTTCTCTGGGAGGGTCTGGAGGCCGAAGGCCAGCCGTGGAACATGCAGAGCTAACAGCTCAGGTTTCTGAAGTGTGTCGTGTGGTGCGGTGTGACTTTGGGTAGCCCAGATTCTCTCTCTGGGCTTGGTTTTCCTCACCTGTAAAATGGAAGGACTTGAATTTGACCAGGAAACACCTCTTTTATCTCAGACATTTCTTCATAGGCTCCTGGTCACCAGACTGTAGGGAGACGCCCTGACAAGGCACCAGGGCCCAGCCTGTGCTAGAAGAATGAGCCCAGCCACCCCTGGTTCAGATCCACTCCAGCTCTTACCCAGGCATTCTCTTTCTTTTTCAGTGTCTGTAAAGGTTAGAAAGCTTGTCATTACCTCCCATGCTTTGCCACTAATCCTTCTCCTGCTGGGACACAAGGAAGCTGCTGAGCCCTTGGCCTAGGACAGGCTTCACACAGAGCTCTTGCTCCTGGTCTACTCCTAGATAATGCCAGTGCACACAGGGTATCAAGTGCTAAGGGCTTATTCAGGGCTGCCAGGCCAGGCCCCCGGTGTGTGACTAACAAGGGCGATGTTTGGCCAGTCCCTGTACTCGTCAGTCACTACATACTCTGTATTAGTTAATGTGCTGGCTGATTTTATGTCAACTTGACCAAGCTGTCACAGGGGCCAGAAGAGGGGGTCAGATTTCCTGGAACTGGAGTTACAGGTGGTTGTGAGCTGCCCGGTAGATGCTGGATTTGAACCTGGGTCCTCTGGAAGAGCAGCCAGTACTCTTGACCACTGAGACATTCATTACTCGCATTTTCTTTTACTTTTACCTTTTGTTGTTGTTTGGGTACAGGGTTTCTCTGTTTATTCTTGGCTGTTCTGGAACTTGCTTTGTAGACCAGACATCTGCCTGCCTCTGCCTCCCAAGCACTGGGATCAAAGATGTTCACTACCACCACTGGGCTCTTTTCTAACTTTCGACCATGAAAACTTCCAAACACATGGACATTAGGACATGTCAGTGTTGCTAGGACCTGATAGTAGCTGCTTTGCTGTCTTGCTTTATCTACACATGGATACATGCATGTAAAAATACATCTTGCAGATAACACTTTCCTGCTTGAGTGTCAGTATTGCTGGAAACATTAGCAGTAATGACATGCCCAGCACTGTGAGCAGAGATCACTCACTGAGCCCCTGAGCTGACTAGCCAGGTGCTGGGCTGAGTCACCTGACCTCTCACCGATCCTTACGGGTACAGGCAGTCCCCACGCATTCCCAGAGGTATACATAGGAGAAGACAGACTCGGAGAAGTGAGGTGACTTGCCCCAGGTCACCAACTGGTGATATGATGGTGTGACAGTTGAAGCGGGGCATGGCAAACCTAGTCTTGTGTGGCCACACTGTGGCCTTGTGACTGACATGCCCCTTGGAACCGACACTTTCCAGGCTTCAGTCGGGGGCATGCTCTCTGTACGTTCATGAGCCAAGGTGCTGAGAGGTAAAAGGACCTCTTGAGGTCACAGAGAATGAGCTGGGACAGCTTTCCACCTTTTGCCCTCCTCATCCCCATAGCCCATCAGCTGTGCAGGCACAGGGCAAGCTAGCTGGCTCCCAGGAGATTTATGTGAACACGTGAAACATTCAGGGAAAGACAGGCTGGCTGCAGCTGGGAAGAACTGGGCTGGTTCTGTCAACACTGCCCATTTCAGTCCCTGCCCTGTTGCGTGTTAGTTGAGTGGCCTTGTTAGCCGGGTGACCTTGGATGAATGACTTAACTCTGATGTTCAGCCCCTCGAAACCCATCTCCAAGTGTGAGATTGCACACAGAGCACCTTGAAGTGCCCTGTTTCCTTGCTCACTCCTCTCTCCAGCCATGGGCACTTGGCAAGCCTCACCATTTAGGTCTCGTGCTGGCTGCCGCATGTGCTTGGTGTGTTGGTGAGCAAAACATATGCTCCCTGGGCTGGGATGTGACTCCCAGTGGAGCGTGTGGCTGCCCCGTACAGGCTCTGCCTTTTATGAAGCACAGAAATGCAACAGAAGAAGAGAGAGCAGAAGCCAGGGCCCAGTGTGGTTTAAGGACAGGGGAGGCAGAGGTCACACTGGAGGAGGAGTGTTGGGCGCTGTGGGGATAGGAGGGCTGCCCCAGGTGGGGAACTGTGGGCAAAATGAGGCCACGTCGCTCCTGGACAGTGGGGCAGAAGTGTAAAACCAGGCGCTCCTGGAAGCTGTGCATCTCCACCTGTGGGATGAGGGCTCGTGCCGCCCGCTGGCTTGGTGACATTGCAGATGTGACTGTGTTCTGGGGGTCTAAGTTATCCCCCATCTCTGAGGTGTTGAGGGTCTGGGGCCCCTGTCCTCTCCCTTCTTCCCTCTGGAAGGCTCACTTCCTGATTTCTTCTCCTCAGTGTCGGCCAAGTGGTCAATATCAAGGCCAAGGTGAACCGGGCCTTCAACTCCAGCATGGAGGTGTGTGTGGCTGGCCCTGCTGGGGGTGGGATGGCCTTTCTCTTCCACTCTGTCTTTTAAGATCCAAAGCCAAGCCCCCTCACACCTGGGACCCTGACTAGAGTTCCAAGATGGCTGGCTTGGGGAGGAGGACCCTAAGGCCTTCCTTGCTAATATTCCACAGCACAGGAGGGAGCATGGAGGCCAGGAAGGGGAGCAGGCTTGCTCAGGGCTTCCACTCCTGGCCAGGCACATGCAATAAATAGTAGGTGATAAAGGCTGAGGAAGGCAGCCTGTCATGAGGAAGGTCATGGTGCTGCAATGGGACAGACTGGGCTACTAGCTCACCTTAGTGGCCTCTGTTCCCACGTCTGTACAGTGGGCCCATGGCTCCTGCACTGAAGGTTTAGTGGGAGCATGGTGCCGTGGTTTACAGGCAGCTGCTGAGGACTTCATTTCTTCTCCTGGGCTTTAGTTAGGTCCTGCAGCGTCACCCAGTGAGCTGGTGATTCCAGGAGCCACAGAGGCCGGGGTGGCAGGGTCCTGACCATGCCTCTGGGCAGTACATAGTACCAGTTCCTTCCCAGGATCCCACAGGTCTGCCCTTTCAGTATCAATAGAGGACAGGGGCATATTTTAACCCTTTCAGCAATCCCTCAAGGGTGGCTGTGACCATTCCCATTCTATAGATGAGGAAACAGACTTAGAGAAGGGGATGTCCAAGGTTTTCCAGGAAGTCAAGGGAAAGTCAGAACCAACTCTATGTTCAGAGGCTGAGCCTGGGTGTCTCTTTAGCTTCACCAAGCTTCAGGCCTTGAGTAGTCCGCTTCCTTCCTTCCTTCCCTCCCTCCCCATGGCCCTGTCCCCCTCTAGGTGGGCATCCAGGTGGTCTCTGAGGACCTATGTTCTGAGAAACAGTGGAGTGTGTGCAAGGCCTTGGCCACCTTTGTGGCCCACCGGGAGCTCTCCAAGGTAGACGGCTTTCCCAGCTGCTCTGTCAATGCCCACCATACCCCCAGTGGGGCCCTCTGGGATCCTACCCAGGTTCCTGCTCCTTTCCTTGCCTCTCCTTGCCCTTTTAAACAGGAGGAACACTGTTCTAAACAGATCCCTCCATCTTCTGGCCCTTTACCCAATAAGGATCTTGGGGGGCATTAGAGAGATCTGTGCTCTGTCTGGTTACAATGGAGACAGGAAGGCGGGCACAGAGGGGAGAGATCTCTGGAGTACCCCTCTTACCCCAGCAGCCCAGACCTACTAGGTACCAGCCTCAGGCATCAGGCGACTGTGCTGTCTTAGGAAACTGGTCCCCGTCTCTCTTGACCAACAGGTGAAGCTGAAGCAGGTCATACCATTGACAGAGGAAGAGAAGACAGAGCACGGGGTGGCAGCTGAGCGCCGGCGTATGCGGCTGGTCTACGCAGACACCATCAAGGACCTCCTGACCCACTGTGCCATCCAGGATGGTGAGTGTGGGTGTAAGAGGGAAGCTGGGTGTACACAGGAGGGCAGCTGGTTGGTGTCCTTGAGCCCCCTTTGAGTGGAAGGAGGACAAGATCCCTTATGGACCTCTGACCCTGGTGACCTCAGGCTTCTCTGGCCTCCTTGGCCTCAAGATCCCTTCCAGGGAAAGCAGATGCCGGGGCCACTCACTCACAGAGCAGAAGCAGTGGTGACGGAGTGGGGACCAGCTGAAATCCCCGTCACCCACAGTGCACTTGGGCCTCTAGGAGATGTGCGGGATGATAGTGTGGGAAGGTAGTATTGGGCTAGGCTTTGAAGACTTAGAGGAATTTTCAAAAGCATATGTGTACAAATGTGTATATATGTTTTCTTTTTCTGCCCAAGAAAAACAGAAAGATGAGAAGCAAGGCTCCCTCTATCCCAGAGCCCAGGTCATCTCCCCTGAGGCAAAGACTGAGATCTGGCTTTGAATATCTTTCTAGGGGTGCTCTCTGTAGATTTAAGTAACATGTGTGTCATTTAGTTCCCTGTTTTTACCCCGAAGGGAACACATAGGACACATTGCTCTGTATCTTGATCTTGATATTTTTTCCTCTATAAAAATCTCTTTTGATGGTTGTTCTCTATTGGTACAGGATGATCTGCCTTGGACTGGGTGGGATTTTGGCAGGTGGGGGGGGGTGAGGAAGGTGTTCTACAGAGACAAAGGCCCTGGGAGGCAGGAACAGGCACCTTGGGCTTCTTTATTCATCTCCATGTTCTTATGTGAGGTCTTCCTTCATATTGAAATTGAAGGAGCCAATTTTCAGGCAAATAACAAGTAATTCAGCTGAGCCAAGTGACACATACCACTAATTGTAGCATTCTGGAGACTGAGGCAGGAGGATCATGGTTAGAGGCCAGCCTTGATTACATATGAAGTTCAAGGCCACCTATGGATACATAGTGAGATCGTGTTTCAAAATAAACAATCAAAAACTGAGTGTTGGCTGGGCATAGTGATTCATACTGGCAATTCCAACAGGTACTTGGCACAGGAGGCTGAGGCAGGAGGATCAGGAGTTCAAGACCAGCCTGGCTATACAGCAAATTTGAAGCCAGCCTGCACTACATGAAACCCAGTCTCATTCCCTTACATCTCCCTCCTCTCAAAATACCTGCATGAACACATGGTGTGGTAGCTTATTTCTGTAAATCTAGCATTTGGAAGGCTGAGGCAGGAACATGCTGTGATTTTTGTCCCTGAGTCCATATAATGAGCAGGCAAGTCTGGGCTACAGAGAGACCCTCTCTCAAAAACCCCGAGAGAGGATCAGTGAGATGGCTCAGCACATAAAGGAACTTGTGCAAGCTTGACAACCTGGGTTCAATACCCAGAACCTACTTAAAGGTGGAAGGAGATAACTGACTCCACAAAATTGCCCTTTGATTTTCAAATGCATCCTGTAGCAAAAAGCAACCCCACACCACCATCATCATTATCCTCCACACTCATGATAATGATGCTGATAATAATAAAATAAAAAATTAATAAAACAAAGCCAAAAAAGAGCCACATGGTGTCAGTGCCTATAGTCTCAGTAGAGGCAGGAGTTTCACCACAAGTTTAAGGCCAGGTGTCCTACTTATTGAGTTTCAGCCCAGCCAGAGCTATGAGGAGAGACCTTGTCTCATAGACAAACAAAAACCACAGAGGCTCTGGTAGAGCACTTGACTAGCATGCACATGGTCTGAGTTCAATTCTCAGCACTGAAAATAACAGCAAAACCCAAAAGCCAGGTAATTTTTCTTTGCTAAAATGGGGAGAGAGCGGAGGGAACTCACTGCATGCTGAACTCTGAGTTCCTTGACCCTGTCTTGCTGGGTGTAGGGATGCTATAGGGGCCCTGCCCATTCTGTCATAACCCTCCCACATCCCTGCTGTCGGACAGCATGCCTCCAAGGGTCACTCTAGATACAGAGGTTAGGGCTAGGGTTAGGGTTAAGGTTAGCCTCTGACTAATGGTTCAGCCCCAGGGCCTGTGTCCTCCCATAAGCTTAGCCGAAGGCCTTGGCACCTGCCAGCACCTCCTCCAGACTTTGGCTTAGGTAATTTTCAGCTTCTGTTTTCCTGTGACATCTCAGCAGCCTTTCACCCCAGTGAAAGTCATCTCTCTGTTGGCTGCTCTGCGGAGGACTCTTAGGGTTCTGGGGATGAATAACAGCACTCTGCTTCAATTGGGCATGTTGGCATCAGCTCTCTGACCCCAGAGGCTCTGTTTGCTCCTTGACTTCTCCCACCCTGGGTATCGTAATGCCACTTCTGCGAGGAACAAAGATTGGTCAGGGTAGTAGGTAGCAAGGACCGTCCTGAAAGTATAGCACATGACAGCCACAGCCGTCCCTCACTGACACACAATCCTGTCTGGCTGGGGTTGACACTTGCTCCTTATAGATGGGTGTCTGAGACCCAGTGGTCTCCTTGATGCATCAAAGTCACACAGCCTGTGTTCGGTGTGGAAGGGGTTGGCTCAGGTGTGCCTTGTCTCCCAGCTGGGCTCTGTCCTTCTGTTCTTTACCAGGACCAGTCTAGCCGTGTGATCACTTGGTGGTATTACATTAATGCTCCAGGGTGGGGGCCGGAGTCTTGGGGCTTCCACGGAGAGTCTATCCTTAGGGGTCTTCTCACCTTCCCGCCTTCCTCCCTGACCAGACCTGGACAAGGACAGCAGCAACATGGTGCCGGCAGAGAAGACCCGAGTGGAGAGCGTGGAACTGGTGTTGCCCCCTCATGCCAATCATCAAGGCAATACCTTTGGTGGCCAGATCATGGCCTGGATGGAGAATGTGGCCACCATTGCAGCCAGGTGAGACAGCCTCTATTTGCACCTTCTCTGCTTCTTCCAGAGATTGTTTCCTTGGCAAGAGAAACCCTTACTCTGTCAGCATGCAAGGCTCTAGAAGCTTGGATGTTCTGTGAGGATAACCTTGGATTTTCACACCTGTCAAACCAGAGAGGTGCCATTTCTGTGAGATGGCCATACCTTCTTTTACCCACCCATCCACACATTCCAGGTAGCTACTGGGAGTCTCCCCACCAGACTGACCCTGAGGCCTACCCTGGTCTGGCTTTGCCTGCACTCCAGCTAGTAAGCTAGTAACTGCCCCTTCAGCTTCTGTTCCTGCCCTCCAGATCTCCCATCTCATCATTTGGCTCCTGGTGGGACCTCCCACCATTTAGCACACCGCCCAGCCCCACCATAATGCCACCATGATCTGGTCCCTCTTTCTAATGATGAAAATAAGTCTACTTCCTCCGATAGCCCCTATGCTGGGCCGGGGTCCAGCACTCTAGTTGTCAGGGTTAAAAAAAAAAAGCTTTGATAGCCAGTGGTCATTAACCGACACTCCTGTGCCTCCCTCAGCCCCTCCCTAAGCCACCTTCCTCCACTAGGCTAGTTTTCATTCTGAGAGCCCAGCCCAGGCCAACACTGAGGTTAAGTTGGAGAGTATCTAAGCAATACCATCTGAGAAGTCTGGTCTGTGAGTGTGAGATTTGAGGGGTCCAGGGCCTGGGATGATCAGGGAAAGCTTCCTGGGGGAGGAGTGCTTTGCTGGGGCCTCCACTGACAAGAAACTCTTCAGGAGGGTTGGGCTCCAAGGTGTCAGGGGACATAGACACGGAGGCAAAAATGCCAAGGGAGGGAGGGAGAAGGGGTTTGCTTCAGGTCATACTATAATGAGATGTCCACCCCACCCACACCTGTGGCACCGACCACACCCATTTGGTCGTGGTCACAGGTACGGACTTGGGGGGTGGGTTTTAGGTCTGTGGTCAGGACAGGTGGCCCTCTCTTGCTTCTGGCTGGTTCACAGAGGGCAGCCTGGGTGGATCCTTGGAAAGGGAACTTGTGACGGTCACCTGCTTCTTGTGTAAGTGACTTCTCCCCAAAATAAATTGTATTTAATCTATATTTGAACCTAGTCCGGTGAATCTATCCGTGCATCCACATCACACTCTAGGCTTGTTTTCTCAAAATCAGCTCCTTTCTAGCCATGCACTGTGGCTTCAGCATGATAAGCTAGAAACAGATTTAGTGTGATGCATGGAGCAGAATTGTTCCTGGGCTGGGCCAGAGGACCATTCCTGTGGTACAGAATGAATTAGGGGCTAGGAGCTGGAGAAAGCTGTCCCAAGCACCCTGATGCAGTACCAACCATTTCTTCTGTCTCCCTATCTTCCTCCCAGCCGGCTCTGTCATGCTCACCCTACACTCAAGGCCATCGAGATGTTCCATTTCCGAGGCCCATCACAAGTGGGAGACCGTCTGGTGCTCAAGGCCATCGTGAATAATGCCTTCAAGCATAGGTGAGGGGTCAGGATGGCTGCCGCTGGACCACCAAGGGTTGCGACTGCTTCCTGACCTAGAAACTACCTAATGCAGACCTGCCAAGCCTTTCCCTAGCAAACAAGGTCTGAATTGCTGAGTTGTTCACGTGGCCCTAGTTTACCCGGTGTCCCCTTTTCTGGAATGTTCTATGACTCCCATTGTTGTCCAGTGGTGGGTCTGGGGTTTCTGTATGTTTTCCATGGGTCCTGTGTTTCCCTCCAAGTGGGAAGCTGCCTTGTGCTGTGTGCCCCATCTCTCTCCTGTTTGGCTGGAGGATGGAGCTCTGGGGGTGCACAGGCCACAGGGCCTCTTCCTGCTCATGTTTCCCTGATCCTCTCCTACCCATGTCCTAAAACATGTCCTACCCATGTTCTAACATCTCACCTTGGGATGAGTTCTGATGTCTGTTCTCGTCACAGCTGGCTTTAAGTAAATGCTGTTTCTGGGAATGTGTGCTTGTTAAGGGTGAACACTCCGGAGCCAGGCAGCCTGGGCTTACTGAAGAGGACATGTATGGTTCTGGCCAGTGGGACTTGGGTCCAGTTGCTAAATCTGCAAGAGAGTGTGTACACACTCTAGGTGCACCTGCCTGCCCGTGTGTGTACTTGTGTGTTAGTGTGTGATGTGGAAGGGCATGGCTTGGGGAAGGTCCGTTGAACTTGACTCCATCGTTCACTTGACCTTAGCATGGAGGTGGGCGTGTGTGTGGAGGCTTATCGCCAGGAGGCCGAGACCCAGCGACGGCACATCAACAGTGCCTTCATGACCTTTGTGGTCCTGGACAAAGATGACCAGCCTCAGAAGCTGCCCTGGATTCGTCCCCAGCCCGGGGTAAGTGCCCTGTCCCCAAGTTCCCTCACTTGTCACCCTGTGGCTGTCCCATCCCTGGCTCTTCACTGAGGCACATCCAGATCTGAGTGTCCTGGTCTTGACTCAGGGATTCCCCCATGAAGCTGGGCACCTGCTCTGCCTGCTAGAACAGGAACATTCCGTGCGGTCTGGCTGATGTAGGGGGATCATGGACCTGAACAGCCCACAGGTTGCAGAGACCCCTGGCTTGGGAGCCATAGATTGGTAGGGTCTCACCCCTGCCACATTCTTAAACATATATTTTCCATGTGTTTTAGCCCTTATCTATGTGATTAGTGTGTCTGCAACTTCTGCCTGCCAAGATGTGGCTGTGGGGTAACCCACTACCTGCAAAGCCTTGGGGCCCTTGAGAGGTTGTCATAGCATTATGGGGATGGGGCAAGGGAGGAGGATGACTGGGTTTTCTGTGAAGACACACACTCTTGGCTTGCTGGGGGCCAATTGCTGTGTGTGTGTGTGTGTGTGTGTGTGTGTGTGTGTGTGAGCGCCTACGTGTGTGTTTTAAACACTCTTATTTTACACACCAATCCCAGTTCTCTCCCCCTCCCCTTCTCCCCACCCCACTTCCCATCCACTTCTCAGAGAGGGTGAGGCCTCCTATGGGGGATCATCAAAGACCACATCATTTGAGTCAGGACCAAAGCTCCCCCCCCACTGTATCTAAGCTGAGCAAGGCATCCCTTGGGATGGGCACCAAAGGCCAGTTCATGCAGTAGGCATAAACACTAGTTCCACTGCTGGTGGCCCATGAACTGGCATCTTTGTGTTTTGAGTGGGGGTAAGGCTGAAGAGGAGGTGGCCTTAAGCTGGCCTTCTGAGTTCTGACCCCAGCTCCACCCTATACTCTATGACCTTGGGAACTAGTCAACCCCCTAGGCCTCAATTTCCTCCTGTGTAAGCTGGGAATCACAGGTTCTAGGCTCAGGAATGTTGGACGGAGAGCAGGTGTGATCTCAAGCAGAGCCCTTGTGAGGGTCTAGTCCCTAGTAAGTGCCCTCTGAAAGTGGCTCTAGGTACCCCCAGGAGGGGGCCAGGATCCCCGAGGTCACCAAAGACTCTACGGGAAGCTAAGCTACAGCTTGGGGCCCTGGCACTTTCCCAGTGACGACGTTTTGACCCCTGCTGCCGCAGGTCCTCTGGCTCCAGAGGACAGGGATGGCAGAGCTATGGGCTAGCTGGCCATGCCACCTGTACCACAACCTGTCCCTGTTTCCTTCCTAGGAGGGTGAACGCCGATACCGAGAGGCCAGTGCCAGGAAGAAGATCCGCCTGGACAGGCGAGTGGGGAGGGCAGTGTGGGGGACATGCTTCAGCTAGCCACCTTCTGACTCCAGAACATTCGAGCTTCTTCAGGGTTACTCAGGCTCAGTACTGGGATGTCCTTACCTATTCCCTTTTTTAAAATTTTATTTAGAGATAAGATCTCAAGCTGTAGCCCTATAGCCTAGGCTAAGGTGGAACTCACTAAGTAGTTTAGGCTGGTCTTGAACTCTTGGGAATTCTCTGCCTCTGTCTTCTGGGCTGGCCCTTTGCATTGCACATTCTTTTGCCTTTCTGCTTTTTTTTTTTTTTTAATGCATGAGGACATTGAGGACAGAAAGTTAGGTTTCTTGTCCTTAAGGCACACAGTTGAGTGAGAGTTACTGTTGGTCCTGGCTTGGTCTGGGTGATTTGGAATCTTGTTTTTATCCCATTGATCCTGAGGCCTGTTTGGCCTGTCTGATGGAAGGATCTAACCTCAGCACTTGGCAGGGATGTGGTAGAGGATGGCCACAAGGCCAGCCTGGACTACAAAGAGAGATCTGTCTCAGCCAAAACAAGTCAACTAAAACAAAACCCAGAAAGGTTTAGAGCACAGACCCAGTGGCTAACCTGGCATGTTGGAGTCCGCTTATAAAGTTGTAGAGGGGGCTGGAGAGATGGCTCAGTGGTTAAGAGCACTGGCTGCTCTTCCAGAGGACCGGGGTTCAATTCCCAGCACCCACATGGCAGCTCACAACTGTCTGTAATCCAATGGGGATTTGAGGTCCCTATAGGCAAAACACTGATGTATATGACATAAAAGTAGATAAATCATAAAAAGTTTAAACAACAACAGAACAGCTGTAGAGTGTTGTAGCTGCATCCAGGCTCACGCATTGTATTACTAAGGAAAACCTACATTTCCGGGACATTTAACATATACTAAGCACTTTGCTCTGTGCAGAATCCCTCAGAAGACATGGATTCCATTCCAAAGAGAATACTGAGGCATGGCTGAAGGGGAGCCTGAGCCTTGTCCTTTTTTTCCTTGCCAGTCCCCTGTGAACTGCCTAGGGTGCTCGCTGAATGCATGTGCTCTCAGCTGCTGTTTTCTGGGTGTCATTGGGCCCAGTCACTGCCAGGCACTCTTCATCCCCACCGGGCTCAGCACCGGCCTGGCATGCAGTAGGCAATGTCATCTGCTAAGAACAGTGGACTCTGAGAGACTCAGGGTGTCCTCTTCTCTCTCAGGAAGTACCTTGTGTCCTGTAAGCAGGCGGAAGTGGCTCTGTCTGTCCCCTGGGACCCTAGCAACCAGGTAAAGCCCTTGTGTCAAAGCCCACAGGGCCCTTTTTCTTCCCTTTGGCCAGAGTGGTTTTGGAGGGAAATTCACAGGCCCAGGACCATGGAAAACTCTTTGTTCTGCTTCATGATTGCAGTTCACAGATGCAAGAGGGAGTAGTGGCTCTGGTTATGGCTGCTCGGGGTTGTGTGGAGGACTTGTGGGAGCCTGGACCCCTTCCCAGTTCCTTTCTCCATATGCACAGCCCCACACATGGGACCCCTGGGGCAGGAGAAGGTAGCATTTGTTGGTGGGCTCTTCCCAGGTATACCTGAGCTATTACAACGTATCCTCTCTGAAGACGCTTATGGCCAAGGACAACTGGGTGCTGTCTGTGGAGATTGATGAGGTAACTGACCCACCTGCCACCTTCCTGTCCCTTACAAGTGGCTAAGTTGGCTGCTGGCAAGCATCGAAGTGGGTATCTTCAAAGCAATTCAAAGCGAGGTCACTGAGCCACCCAGTTTCGGTGAAGCCCTTGATCCTTTCGTATTGCCGGCCACCTTTTACCCGCCTTGAGCCCATGGCTTTGCACAGCCTGTTCCTCCCCACTCTCCCTTGGCTCTGTGCACAGCAGCTCCCTGCAGGGATGGGGCAGTGGGCAGTGTGAGCTCTGCTGCTCTTGTCTGTCCTGTGACAAGCCATATCCCTATCCATATTATTAGGGAATTGGATAAAGCCAGGATCTGGAGACCTGTTACCTCCGTTACTGCTTTTTCTTTTTTTAAAAAAATTATTTTTATATGCATAGATGTTTAACCTGCATGTGTGTCTGTGTACCACAAGTATGCCTAAGGGAAGCCAGAAGAGGGTGTCCGATCCCCATTAGACGCCAGTGGGCTTATGAGCTGCCACATGGGTACTGGGAACTGAACCCTGGTCCTCTGGAAGAGGAACCGGTGCTCTTAACCTCTGAGCCACCTCTCCAGCCTTGAGTACTGCTTCTTAAAGAGGCATTTTCTGTCTGTCCTTACTGAGCTCTGTCAGAGGTCCATTTTCATGGGGTTGTATCTAAGTCTCAGAGGCATTCAATTAGTCAGGCATTGTGTAGGGGCACCCCTGACTTCAGGAGACATCCTCCACCAGCAGCACGGTCTGGGGGTGTGGTGCAAGAATGAGGCTGCCCTCTATGGTACGCAGGTCAGCCTGTACATCCTGGAGGAGGAGTTCCTGTCCTTTCACTTGGAGATGGTGGTGCACGTGGATGCTGCCCAGGTCTTTACACTGCTCTCTGACCTGCTCCGGAGACCAGAGTGGGACAAGCATTACCGGTGAGGGGCCATTGCTGGGCGAAAGGTGGGAGGGTTACCTGCTGATGCTAAGCATCCCCCATGACGCTTTGTTCCACTGGCCTTCTGTAGGGACAGACCTGGCTACAGGGTATAGTTATGTGTTAAGTGGCAATCAAAATCATGGGCATGCTGAGGCCCCAGGGAAAGGGCTGAGTCTAGAATTGGATGTGGAGGCCTGAATTTAAGTCACGTACCTGTTTTAAATGGCCACGCACTGTTGGTCAGGTCATTTCTTTTCTGGGCCTCCATTTCCCCCTCCTCTTAACAAGTTTTAATCATTCATTTTATGAAGATGGATTTTTTTTAGACAAGGTTTCTCTGTGTGACCCTGGCTGTCCTGGAACTCCACAGACTAGGTTGGCCTTGAACTCAGAGACCCATCTGCCTCTGTCCCTAGAGTGCTGGGATTAAAGGTGTGCTCTGCCACCACCTGGCAAGTAAGGGTATTTTGCCTGCATATTTGTGTACCTCGTGTTTGTGTGGTGCCCAGATTCTCTGGGACTGGAGTTACAGATGGTTGTGAGCTATCATGTGGGTGCTAGAACTTGAACCCAGGTCCTCTGGAAAAGCAGCTAGTGCTCTTAACCACTGAGCCATCTCCCCAGCACCTACATTCTTAAAAATGGCATTTGTGTGTGTGTGTGTGTGTGTGTGTGTAGGTCAGAGGACAACTTGTGGGTCCCAGGGATCGAACTCAGATCAGCAGGCTTGCTGGCAAAGTGCCTTGCCTGCTGAGCCTACCTGTGGGGTTGGGAAAGATAATGTCTAAAGTGGTGTTTGTTCAAGATCCTTGAAGTCAGCTTTTGTCCTGCCGATGCCGTGGCTCATTCAGAGCTTACACTACACATGCTTCCCTAGGAGGCTGGATGGACTCGGGAATGTACTGAGCGGCTGTGAGTGGCTCACCACCAGCTGACTTACCACGAGTGGCTGCTCCTTCCCAAGTGTGCCCTCAGCCGCTCACACCTGGGCTTCCTGCCTAAGCTTTCTTTGTAGCCATGATTGTGCTGGGCTGGGGAGATGGCTCGGCAGATAAAGCACTTGCCCACAAGCATGAGCACTTGTATCTGATTCCCCAGGAGCTAAGTAAAGCTGGGCATGAAATTCATGTTTGCAATCCCAGTGCTCCTCCTTCCAGATGGGAGACAGGGACAGGAGACTCCTCGGAACTTCTAGGGCCAGTTTGCCAGGCACACACAGAGGTAAATAGCAATGACCAGTACTTGAAACCTCAATGATGTGATGCCCACAATGCACCATTAAGTGAATACCTGTACTCACGAACACTCGTACTCATGTGCATGCATGTGTGCGTGCTCGTGTGTGCGTATGCGTGTACATGCTCGCACAAATGCATACGCACATGTACACAGAGCAAGAGATGGAATAAGTGAGTAAGAGATTGAGGGTAAGAAGGAAAGGAAAGGTACGGTAGAGGGGGAGAGGAAGAGGATGACTTGTGTCGATTTAGAAAGCTGTGCCCGGGTAACCCAGGCCTGCTCGTGGTGTGTTCTAGAAAGCTAAGAGGTGGCTGGTGATGGGTGGTGGCTAGGCAGAGAAACCGAAAGAGGTGGGCTGGTATGGATCAAGCTTCACTGAAGGTGTGAGTGACCTAAGGGTAAAGGGCCCCCAGCACACTTCTTTAGCCTGGTACAGACGTCCTGCTCCCAAGCCAGCGTGCAGCAGGGGGGAGGAAGAGAGGAGGGGAAGATATAGATGTGGTCCTGTGTCCTCATGCCACTGTCCTTGTGTGTCTGTAGGTACCAAAATCAGTCTATGGTGTGTGTGTGTGTGTGTGTGTGTGTGTGTGTGTGCCTGGGCTTGTTATGTCTCTGCTACCAGCCAGGCTGGACACCCAAGCCCTGTTGTCTCATGAGCTCTGTGGCCCAGGGTGGGTTATCCCCTAGCCTCAGTCCCTCTGTGTAGTGGGGATACTGAGACTGCCCACAGCACGGCTGTGCTGTGGAGGGGGCCTGAGTGCAGCGCCTGGCACACACTGGGGACTCACTGGATAGTGCATGCAGCTACCAAACCCTTTAAGAGCTACGTGGAGTGTGCACATCTGCAGACAGATCTGTATGTTCAGGGGTGTCCACCTGTGTGCCTGTGTTTGTGTGCCCATGTGTGAGCATATATGTAGCTTCGGCGTTCCTGTGTCTATATGTGTCTTAGTCTCTTTTCCTGTTGCTATGATAAAAATACCCTGACGAAAGCAACTGAAGGGAGAGTGGGTCATTCGGCCTCAGTGTTCAAGGTGCAGAAGTCAAAGCAGCTGATACTTGAAGCAATTGCTCATACTGCATCCACAGTAACAAAGCAGAGCGGGACAAATGCATGCTGGCGCTTCCTTCACTTTCTCCATTTTATGCAGTCAGGGATCCCTGCCCAGGGAATGGCACTCCCCACAGTTGAGATGGGTCTTCTTATATCAATTAATGTAATCAAGGTAATCTTCAACAGGCATGCCTAGAATCCCACCTCCCAAGTGATTCTAGATTCTACCAAGTTGACAGTTAACCCTATCAGTCTGTGTACGTGTATTTGCTCAAATACATGTCTGTGTGCCTATGTGTTCTGCATGTGTCTATATTTACCTGTGTATGTCTCTGTATATGCATACATGTGCATGTACCTGTGTATCTGCTCTGGTGTGCATGACTTTGTGCCTGTTGTGTGCATGGGTGTGTGCACACACACATGCGTGGGCACTTGCATATATACACACATGTGCATCCTGGAAGGCCTCTACCCTTCCTCTGTCTCTGCTGAACTGTGCCTAGTCCTGGCTGAATGGAGAGCTGCTGTGGCTCCCAGGTCCTGACTCCAGCCTCCCAACAGGAGTGTGGAGCTAGTACAGCAGGTAGATGAAGACGATGCCATCTACCACGTCATCAGCCCTGCCTTGAGTGGTAATACCAAGCCTCAAGACTTTGTGATCCTGGCCTCTAGGCGGAAGCCTTGTGACAATGGGTGAGTGCCTGCTTTCTGAGGGGTGCAGTAGGGGTGGAGAGGCCCCCATCTCCCTCTTCAGGAGAGCAGCAACTTGGAGTCAGAGCTCTGCTGCCCACTGGTGGTTGGACTCAGAACCTACCAACTGTGTGGAGGCTGCCAGTGAGGGTTCACCATGACCTCTGTATGTCTCTGTATATCCATACATGTGCATGTACCTGTGTATCTGCTCTGGTGTGCATGTTCTTGAAAGCAAGGCTGTTCATGGTGCTTGTGGCTGAGGCTGCTGCACTTAAGGCCATGGACAGAGTATCTTTCACACGACTATCCCTTGTCCCCTGTCCCCTGGAAGCTTGCGACTGATATCTGCAGCTTGGGTACAGCCAGGATAGACTGCATCTCTTTTTCTGGAAACATGGACCAGAAGAAAAGAAACTCTAAGGCACACAGATCCATGGGGACACATGAGGCCTTAGCCTGGGGATGCTAACATAGATAACCCCTGTCTGCAGCTGGCCCTGAGCAAGACACCGGGTTCTGAGGGAGTAAATTTATGCCTGGGAACAGAACAGGGACCCACCTTCTCCTATGGATGATTTCTGACTTCTCATTCTGACTCCCCTGTAGGGACCCCTATGTCATCGCACTGAGGTCAGTCACGCTGCCCACGCACCGTGAGACACCAGAATATCAACGTGGGGAGACTCTCTGCTCAGGCTTCTGTCTGTGGCGTGAGGGGGACCAGTTGACTAAGGTGAGGTCCCTTCTATCCTCCCACCTATGGGTGAACTGGACTCTATGTTTTGGGCTGGGCGCCTTTCAGCTTTCCCATCAGAGACCGAAAAGAGATCGTCATTGAGATTTAGTCAGTGTCGACAGTGAGTGGCCGCTGCTGGGGCTTAGAAATAGCTCTGGATACAGACTACAGAAAGCCCAACTCTGATCTAAAATTCTGTTTCATTATTTATTTACTGTGTCCCCCTTCTTATCTGGGAGGGCTTTATGTGGCTCTGAGGGCCTATAAGGCTCAGCAGGGTAGTCAGTGTTAATTGAAAAGGTAGGGAGAAAGTGGGAACTCTCTACCCCGTCCCCAGCTTGCAATTTCCCTTGCAGTCCTGGATCAACACTGAGCCTTGCCCAGGTGCTGACTTGGCCAGCGTTGCTAAGGCCCAATGTAAAGCTAGTCCATGGCTTATGTCTACCATGTTTCTGTGACCCCAGCGTAGTCATATCAGGTGGATTCAATGATAGGCTTTGGAGTCTCAATCCCTGTCTTCTGGGGCCACCTGGCCAGTATGGAGGTACACAATGATTTTATCACCATAAAATAGGGCAGCCAGGGTTGAAGTACCCTAAGTGTCTGGAAAACCTGTCAAAGGAGGCCATGCCTGCCAGTCAGGTTTTCTAACTGAGCTCCCAGACCCAGGATTATACCTGTTGCCTCCTCAGAAGGCAAGCAAGACTGACTCTCCACTGGCCTCCAGCCCAGCCCCTGAGCCTCTCCCCATTATGCCTCTCTGAGCTTGGCTTCCTGCCTTGCAGGTTTCATACTACAACCAGGCCACCCCCGGCTTTCTCAACTATGTGACCACCAACGTGGCAGGCCTGTCCACGGAATTCTACAATACATTCAAGGCTTGTGAGAGTTTCCTGTTGGAAAACCGGAATGACCTGGCCCCCAGCCTGCAGACCCTCTAGGGACCACCCCACCCTGCCCCAGGACTTACACAGTGCGTGGAGCAAAGCAGAGGCATTTATTCACCATGACTCCCCAGGGAAGCCTTCCACATTAGATGGTCCAGTCCTACTGGATGGTCAGTTCCTGCTTACATCTGCCAGCAAGTCTTCTCGGTACTCCTGGGGTATCCTATAATAGACTCGGGTCCTGTCCACAGCCCTGGCCACCCACAACCCAGCCCATACATCGGCATAGCTGTCCCCAGCAATGCTGTGGTGCACTGTGACAGTGGCTCGAGGAGAGGCTGCCAGCAGCCTGGTTACAGCTCTGGCTGTACTCCGGCCCAGTGGCCCAGCCTGCAGCTGGAAGGACACAGGTTGCCAGAGCCCCTGACACAGCTCCAGCATATCTGTGACCATCTGCTCCTGATAGCCATTGCCCAGCACCTCTTCAGGCCAGCCTGGTGCCACAGTCACATGGGGGAAAACCTCAGCCACAGCTGTAAGCAGCTCTCTGCCAGCCACATGGCCAGGGACCACAAAATTACCATGTGAGACTGTGGCCCCCACCCACACAGGCCAGGGCAGATGGCCAAGGGTGGAGAGGTGTGCCAGCGTGGCCAGGGATGGCCGGAGAGCTGCGGGTTCCACTATGTTCACATGGATACCCCAGCGCCTGGGGTGTACAGCCAGCTGCAGCAGACATGTCTCCAGGGTCATAACAAGACCACCTGGGGTACGCAGGATGGGCACAGGGTTCCCAACTTCAGGTTGCTGGAGGCCGACATCCAGCAGGATCATGCCTTCTCTGTCTGGAAGAGGCAACAGTGTTTGGAGTACCTGTTATTATGGGATGTCAGTGTCTCTTGGTAAAGGGGCAGGGGAGGCCATGGGCACAGACAAGGAGGAACTGGTACCAGCTGTTCTTGAGTCTACCAGCCCCGTCTCAGGCTCCAAATGCTGTGACTGGTGACTCTCAGGCAGACATGACAAATTGTTGGCTCAGTTCATGGCCTTCCCAGTGACTCAGAGCTGGGTCACCAGCCACTCTTCTAGTCACAGTGTGACTGAGGGCTCAAGGCTGCTCTTGACATGATTCCTCCCACTTTGTATTCAGTGTGAGGCTTATCATGTTGCCATGGTAACTGAGAACGAAGTTACCCATCCAGGCAAATGACAGACCTGTGGGTTAGCCAGGAGCTTTAGGGCTGCGGCAGACTCACCAGGGACAGTGATGGCTGCTGTTCTCCCACTACCATTCACTTGTAGAGCCAGCCACTCCACCTCTAGACCATCACTCCTGGGCTGCTGGAGAAGAGGGATCAGGCTGCCACCTGTGTAGTAGGTTCGCTTCCGGGTGCTGTTCACTATGGGACCCAACATTGCCAAGGTGAAAGGACCACTCTCCACGGTTACACCCTGGCTTTCCTGCATCCTAAACCTTGTAGCTGTCAGTAGTTCCCTCTTGGATAGGTTAAAAGTTGTTGTCTCAAGGTCTGACAACCAGTACACAGTTTACTGGGCCAGAAACCAGATGGGGCTAGAGCTGAAGGACCTAAAAGCTGGTCTCCGCTGCCCCTTGGGATGGCGTAAGGGTATGTGCTCCTAGACTCAGGGTCCAGAGGACAAGGGGTTTGCATGGTGGCATCTGGCTCATGAATTAGTGGGCACAGAAGAGGGCTGTGCTCTGAAACACTAGTGCCACCAAAGATGAGTGGCTGTGGAAACAAGGGGAGGTTGGCTTGGTTCTGATCAAGCTACATTTCTATAAATTCCTTGTAGTTTTGGACCTCCCTTTCCTTCTCTATCGACCAGACACCCGCTTTGTGGATAGGTGAAGCTTGGATAGCATACTATCCCAGAGGCAGAACACAAGATCTCAGAATGGTTCCTGTCTCCTGTTCCACCTAGAACTCTCCCCTTCTAGATGCCCCCCCCCCACTTCTGCTTCCATACCCAACCAAGGCTGTCCTGAGCAGAAACCTCCCCTTCTAGATCCCCTTCCTACAGGCCAGCTGCTTGAACTGCGACAGGACAGGCTCAAAGAGGTCATAGTAGATTTGGTGGATGGCACTGCTGTCCCGGATGAAGAGGAGATCGTCTACCGACACGGGGTCTGAGGCACCCTGCCACAGTGTCAGGCTGTACCTGGGATCAGAGAGCTGACTCAGTGCCCACCTGGGCCCAGAAAGACCCTCAGCTCTACTCCTATGCTCAGAACTGAATGCCAGCTGAGCCCAGGAGTAGACATCTGTCCTCCAGCTTCCCACTAGCATCTCCTGAGCACCATCCCTTCCAGAGGATGGTGGAAAGCAGGACTTCAGGGAGTGAGAGGATGTGCGCACTTGGGATGTCTGTTTCTGAGTTACCATCAATGGAAGTAGCGAACAGCTTGTCTGTCACCAGAGGAGTACAAGCCAGAGGCAGGGCATTGTAGGAGGTTGTTAGGCCTGGGCAAGATGATCTTTAGGACCCCCTTCTGCCATGTTCATCTTAGATCAGAGCCCAGGATAGGTTTGGAACCAGAAGAGGGGGCTTCACCTCTCAGATTGGCCCAGGAGCCAGCTGAAGTGGGGCCAAGCGGCCCGTGCCATGAAAGCCCGAACTGGGAAGGTGACCCTCTGGGGCAGCGCGCCCACCAGCTCCTGCATCTTCTCTACCATGGCTTGGGTGTATGTGCTGTTGGGCAGCTGAGGCACATAAAGAGTGGTAAAGCCAGGAGAAATGGTGACCTCTGGATACTTCTCCTGGACAAGTGCCAGGAACCTGCAGAGAACAGAGAGATATCCACCTTTGCAGACCACCCCAGCCCCCTATTGTGGGTTCTTGTTGAGTTGTGCTTGGAGGTTGGCAACATAGCTCTAAAGAGCAACAGTGGTCTGCACAGGCTCCTGCTGATACTACCACCCTGTGTAGTCTGGGAGCTGTGGAGTCCCTACTCTGCCTCTGGTGGTCACTTCAGCCTTCCATTCTTAAAGAGACAGTGACGGTCTGGCAGGGCAGGTAGGTAGGGCCTTTTAAATGTCCCCATGTGGACCGATGGGGTTGAGTAAGACTTGTAAGGTGTGCAGGTCTGCAAGCTACCAGCTGGCTTCGAGTCCCCAAAGTTTCAGATTCCCATTTTTTCTTTTTTATATGAGCCAAGCATGATGGCACATGCCTGTCATCTCAGCACTTGGGAGGTGGTGACAGGAGCGTTAACACTTCCTTCATCCCCAGCTACATAGTGAGTACAGGGCTAGCCTGGGCTATATGAAACTGTCTCAAAGCAATACATCAAAAAGAATTATTTGAATTTTGTTCAATGCGGATTTCTATAGGAAAGTTATGTCACCTACCACCCAGCCTCCCTGAGGAGAGAAGCCTTTGTTTGTCTTGGGCTCTAGACTACATCTTAAAAATTATTTTCTTCAACTATATATCATTTTGAGACTCACAGTAAATATTGGGTGGGTGGCTGGGCAGATGGAGGGAGAGGTACCTGTAGACCACAAAGCTTGGGGAGGGAAAGGGTTATGGGAACCTTAGCTCTGCCATTTTGTAGACTTAGACAGGCCATTTAATCTCTCAAAGATAGTTTCTAAACTTACAAAATGAAGATGACTAGTTGCTACCTCATTCTCCTAAGAATTCAGCTGTATTCTGCAAGTAAAGTGCTTGAAACGGTGCCTGGGGTCACAATAAACTTGCAAGAGCACGCTTCCGCTGTTGTGAATTTTCACATCTGAAAAATGGGGAAAACGTACTTCTAGCCGGTCAAGGGGCTGGATTTTCTGGAGGGCCAGGGAGGGAGCTATCATCTTTTTATAACTTCTAGCAGGTCAAGTCCTGTGCATGTTACTGGAGTGACAGAAAGGACATCTCTGTCTGCTCCCTAAGAGTCCACAATGGAACAGGGGTGACAAACATGTAAGTCAACAGCAACGGTCCAATGGAATCAGGGCTGAGGGGCCCAGGGAAAGTTCTTCAGGAACCTGGGGTAGGTACTAGGGACACTTCTGGAGATGGCAGAGACTGGGAAAAGGCTCTAGAAAAAGGAGGACAACTAGGCATGCTGGTGAATATCAGGAATAGCAGAGATGGAGACAGAAGGATTTCAGGTTCAAGGCCAGCCTGAATTATATGCAGAGTTCAAGGCTGTTCAGGGCTGCATGAGAACTCATCTTCTCACCACCACAAAAAAGGTAGAAAAAGAACTAATCCAAGGAACAAACACAAACAATGAAGGTATAGTGGCCCATAGCTGTAACCCTGGTACTAGGAGAAAAAGGCAGCAGGAGCCGCACAAATACAAGGCAGCTGGCCCATATAAGGAGTTCCAGGACAGCAAGGTCTGTATAGAGAGACTGTGTCTTAAAAACACACAAAGGGGGCAGGCACGTGCTCACAGGTGAGCTGTTTGCCACCAGGACTGATGATGACCTAGGAGCCCCAGACCCCACGTGGTGAAGAGAAAAACAAACTCTTGAAAGTCATCCTTTGACTTCCACACGTGCACTGTGGCACACAGGCATAAACACACAGACAGGGCAAAGGGAAAGGCTCAGTGCCGAGGCCTCATGGTGGGACCGGCAAATGCAACAAAGGTCCCCCTGTGTCCCCATTCATGCTCGGTGCTGACAGAAGAGGACTGGACCCGGTGGGCAGAGGGTGAACACTCACTGTGTAGCGTTGATCTCCACCGAGATAGGCACATTGGGGCCCCTCATGATGTCAGCATTGATCCACACCGGTCTCCGAATCCTGCCAGTCTCAGTCAGGTGCCGGAGGAGGTCCAGGGAGGGGCCCACAGCCTTGAGGCTCTTGAAGTCCAGTTTGATGCCTGCAGGGAAGGGGCAAGGGCTGGGGAACCGGGCATCAACTTGCTGGGTAGGAAGAGCTGGTAAGGGTGGGGCAGGTCTTGGGAGAGTGGGAAGATGGGAGCAGATGGTGGTGGGGTGTGAGGACAGCTTTCAGGCAGGGAGAGCCAACACTTGAGAAGAAGAGGTCCCCTCTCCATCCCAGGTAGGCAGAGGTTAAAAAAAAAAAAAAATAGCTAAAGGCCTGGGCTGGTTCAGGGAGACTAAGGCATGAAAGAGTTTCTGGACAGCAGGGCAGAGTCTGAGTTCTGAATCCCAACAGCCTGTGAGGGGTCCACTAGGCCTCCAGGAAGTGACATTTGAGTAGAGAGGTTAACTAGGTAGAAAAAGCACCCAGTATGAATGACTGCCCATCTTAACTGTGGAGCCAAGAGATGAGTCTTCCAAGTTAGAGATGTTGAAAGCCAAGCCAGGACAAGGGGAGCCATGGAGGATGAAAGCAGAGAAGTCACAGGTGTTTGGTAGTTAGATGAGGCTCCGAGGAAGACAGTCCGTGGGAGAAATGACATGGTTGTGACGGGAGAGTGCAGCTGTGGAGTGGCTGAGGTGGGGTGGGGGTGGGGGTGGTGGTGGTGGGGGGGGTGGTGGGGTGGGTGGGGATGAAGGGGATGAGGGAGAAGGTGGCCTTGGGGTGAGACCTCCATCCGGACTAGGAAAGGGGAGTTGGAGGCAAGAGAGTTTGGCTTTGAACACTTTATATCCAGTTCTGTGGACCCACAGGGATACCTTGACCCTGTTTGGCCCTTTGCAGTTTACTCTGCACTTTCATGTCCCTGTCTCACCTGTGGAGAGAACCCGTGGGTTGCATTTCCTCTTGCCCACCTCACTTAGCTCCCCCCGAGCCTGAGTGATGGAAGTCTGGAAAGTGAGCAGCTCAGGGTGGGCCCTGGAGTACCCTCACCCAAGAGGAATCCCTACTTAAGGGCAGGGGGCTGGGGAGCCAGTAGGACTGGCGGAGGGATCAGAGGGATGCCTTACCCTTCTGAGACGAGGCCAGTACAGCTTCCAGCCACTGCTGCAGGGTGTTGTCACTGTAAATGGCTGGAGGGTGGGCCATAATGGGCACCCCAGTCTCATTGGCTGTGGTGAACCCTTCTACAGTGACATCTGCCTCCAAGACCATGACATTGCCTATTTTTTTAAGAGGGAGAACTCAATCAGTACTTTTAAAAAAATACTTATCTATCTATAATTCTATCTATCTACCATCTATCATCTATTTATCATCTATCATCATCATCTATCACCTGTCTATCTACCATCTATCATTCTATCTAGCTATCATCTATTTAGCTATAATTCATCATTCTATCTATCTGTCTATCATCTGTCTGTCTGTGTCTGTCTGTCATCTCCTGTGTGTTTGCACATGCACCATGGCTTACGTGTAGTGATCACATGACAACTTGCAGGAGTCAGATCTCCATCAACCATGTGGGTCCTGAATGAAGATCACACTCAGGTCATCAGACTTGGTGGCAAGTGTCTTTACCTGCTGAGTCATACAGAGGCTTCTCAAGTGTCATTTTCAACTTTAACTTTTTTTTTTTTTTTTTTTTTTTTTAAATGAATCTCTCTGGCTGGTCTGGAATTCTTGTTATGTAGACCAAAATGGCCTCAAATTCACAGAGATCCGCCTGCCTCTGCTCCTGAGTGCCGGGATTAAAGATGAAGTACCACCACACCTGACCTGCTTGGGTTATTGATTATTTTTTTTTTTTATCTCTCTGAATAGAATTTGAGTGAGGTATGCACAGGAGCATCGAAAACCTCTAGTGTCAACTTACTGCCAAGACTACACGTCTAGCCGTGTCTTCACTAGCAACTAGGTGCTATTTTTATCTGTTAATTTCATGTAGTTAACACAGGTGAGCCCTTGAGTATTTAGTCTAAATGGAGCTCAGACCTTTGGTGTCAACTTTAATGCGTACAAATGTCAACACAACATGCAACCATCCAATTGTAGATTTTGTAGTTTGGGGTGGGGCTGAGGTTCTCATCTCTCAGTTAGACCACTCTTCCATCCTGGAGCGTTGCCTGAATCCATCTCTTCCTAAGGGCCACAGCCCTCCAGAGTCCTCCCTCCATGAGGGTGGAGCTGGTCAATGCCGGAAGCACTTTAGAGATGACTAGGGAATGATGACCCCGAGCAAATCAATGACAGAAAAGGAAAGACTATGCCAGTGTGGGATTATAGGATTTACACTTGTAATCCCAGCGTTAGGGATGATGAGACAGGTCTTGCTGTGGGTTTGAGGCTGATCTGGGGTACATAGCAAGTTCAAAGTCAGCCTGGGCCAAATACTGAGGTTGTATCTAAAAAACAAACACACACAGCAAATTCAAGGCCAACCATCCAGGCCTAGGGAAGTGAGATAGCTCATGTACTGCCTCTGACAATTTAAAAAACACATTTGCTTTTATTTTATGTGTTCAAGTGACTGGCTACATGTATGTACATGTACCACCTATGTGCCTGGTGCCAGTGGAAGACGCAGAGAACATCAGATCCCCTGGAACTGGAGTCACAGACAATCGCGAGCTACCATGTGGATGCTGGGAACTGAACCTAGGCCCTCTACAAAAGCAGCAAGTGCTTTTAAGCACTGAGCCTTCTCCCCAGCCCTCATGCCTGAGAATGTTATCAGTGTTCTTTAAAGTCCAGGTGCTGGGTTTTTAGGAGGCAGAATGAACACAGGCTGTTGCTGGCACCGTTTTTGTTTGTTTTTTTGTTTTTTTTTTTCTGGGGACAGAGTCTTACTCTGTTACGCCAGGTATCCTGGAACATATTGTACAGCCCAGGCTGGCCTCAAGCTCCTGAGCAGCCCCCTGCTCATGATTATAGAACTGTGCCAGCATGCTCAGCAGTTTACTTCTACTGTTGAGATAGTTCTGTTTTGTGGCCCTGCTAGCCTGAAACTTGGATTTTCTGCCTCAGTCTCCCAGGGCCAGGATCACAGGGGTGTGAGTTGTGGGTCATCAGTCCATCCTGTCCTTGCACTGGATAGCCCAACTCTGGAGTTGGGACTGTTGTCCTCATTGGTGAGCAGGGACAAGTTCCCTGGCCTTAGAACACCATCAGCGACCTCAGAACCCATTGTGAGCCCTGATGGCCTATGGATGTTATGAAATGAATTTTATTTTTTTAAAGGTAATTGGCCCCCATAAGCTCATAGGGAGTGGCACATTAGGAGGTGTGGTTTTGTAAGTGTAGGTGTGGCCTTGTTGGAGGAAGTGTGTCACTGTGAGGTGGGCTTTGAGTCTCCTCAAGCTACATCCAGTTTACTTCCTGTTGCCTGTGGATCAGGATGTGGAACTCCCAGCTTGTTCTCCAACACCATGTCTGTCTGCACGTGACCATGTTCCACCATGATGACAATGGACCAAACCTCTGAAACTGTAAGCTACCCCAATTAAAAGTGTTACTTTGTAAAGAGTTGCCACGCTTATGGTGTCTCTTCACAGCAGTTTTACCCTAAGACAGCATGTGTTTTGCCTGTATATGTGTATGTGTGTCATGTATATGCCTGATGTCTCAGGGGCCAGAGGGCATTGGATCCTCTGGACCTGGATAACATACATTTATGAACCACCTTGTGAGTGCTGGGAACAAAATCCAGGTCTCCTCTGCAAGAGCAGCAAGAAGCTGAGCCATCTCTCCAGCTTCCACCAAGTTCTTTCTTAACTTTGCCTACGTGAACATACAGTGGGTAGAGTCCACAAGGTTTGGGGAATAGAGAATCTAGGCCCGAGCAGGGTACCTGGCAGACACTGGCGTGGCAGAAACTAGGTGTGGTGGCACACATCAATAATCCCAGTACTTGGAGCCTGGAGGCAG